AGTACTATACATACATACATACATTCATACATACATGTATACATACATACCTACACACATCTGCATATACATATCTATAAATGTATGTCATATACTCATGTATGTAGTAGATTTTTATCTACCTTTACACTGGCCAACAATTCCGTTGAGTTCTCATTGCTCACTTCGAGTTGACAAAGTCGGTCTTCCATTTCCTTCTTCTCCGACCCCAATTCCGCCACAGCAGCCTGTGAGAGAAAAACCAATACCCACCCAGGGGCCATCAGAATGCACGCTAGTGTGGCACATGCTTAGCCACAACTGAATAGCTGACAACAAAACACAGATGTATGTGCTATCGCATACTATGGAGAGTTAGGGTTTCAAGGTTTTAGGGTTCAGGGCAGACACTATTTGCAAGTCTCACACGATATACCTTCGACGTTTCTAACTCAGCCTCTAACGCAGTCACGCGCTCTGTGGCTGAGACATAATGCTCGCCCTTAACCTGTAACTTTACCTTTAGGGTTTTAGGGTTTAGGGTTTTAGGGGAATGGGGCAGGGAAAAGATGTGAACGAGCAATAGCAATTGCCTATACACTGACATATGTTTTAGAGTTTTAGGGTTTTAGGGTTTTAGCGTATGTTTTTAACCCAGTTGTAGCTATGCGACATACACTAGTCACAACAAAGGCACCGTGGGTAGTAAATCCCCGCACTACCAACCGCAATAAAGTCATACAAACCAACCAATACACTAACTAACCAACACAGTCATACTCACAAGCCCCTCCTCTCGATTAATGGGCACGTTAGAGTTTTATCTACGATACCTTGAGTGTCTCGAGCTCAGCCTCGGCAGTACTTACGCGCTGTTTCGCATCAGTTAGTCTTTGGCTGAGGCTGTCCCTTTCTGCCACTGCGGCGTCTATTTGTTCTTCTGCTGCTGCAGTAGCCGCCTAAGTGACCCCGACCATGAAGATTTAATACGCCGATGGGAACACACGTATTCAATGGGACGTAAAGGGGCATGCGTGCAATTGATATACACACAGTGCTAGTGTTATACATGTCCACACAGTGCTAGTGTTATATACGTCCGCAGAGTGCTAGTGTTATATACGTCCGCAGAGTGCTAGTGTTATAATATGTCCACACAGTGCTAGTGCTATATACGTCCACAGAGTGCTAGTGTTATATATGTCCACACAGTGCTAGTGTTATATATGTCCACAAAGTGCTAGTGTTCTATATGTCCACTTAGTGCTAGTGTTATATATGTCCACACAGTGCTAGTAAAATATATGTCCACACAGTGCTAGTGTTATATATGCGCCCATACAGTGATAGTGTTATATATGTCCACACAGTGTTAGTGTCAAATATGTCCACACAGTGCTAGTGATATATATGTCCACACAGTGCTAGTGATCTATATATCCTCACAGTGCTAGAGTAATATATGTTCACACAGTACTAATGTCAAATATGTCAGCACAGTGCTAGTGATATATAAGTCCAAACAGTGATAGAGTCAATATGTCCTCACAGTACTAGTGTTATATAAGTCCACACAG